TTCCTTTCCTTTCCTTTCCTTTCCTTTCCTTTCCTTTCCTTTCCTTTTCTCGCCTCCCCTGAGTTTCCTGTTTGTGCTGATTAAGCCCCAGCACTGGATCCTTCACTCCATTACACAGCCTTGGACAAAGACTGGCTCCCATGGGGTGAGGGTGGTTTTATCCCTCCAGCTGAAGCAGGATGAGGCCCCTGGGGCTGAGCAGCCCTGCCAAGGGTGCCCAGTGTGCTGCTCCCACCCCCTGGTACCATCTGCAGTAAAACACAGGGTGCCCCTGCCCGCTTCAGGTGGGTGACATTCCCAGGCAGAGGCCCAGGCAGGCCGGGAGGACAGGGAACAGCAGGGCCGATGGATACACCGCCATTTGTGTGAAAAATTCTCAGGGAAAATTCTTTCTCTCCCTCTCAGGCCCCTAAACTCTTTGTGAATGGGGCCAGTGCAACATGTGGCCTTTCACCTCACCCAAGAACCACTGCCAGACAGCCACACTCAGAGAATTGTTTGTTAATAGTCCAATTAGATAATTGCCATCTTTCACTCCTTTTGCTCTACATTTCCCATAAAGGAATGAATAAGGAGAGCAGCATGAAGAGGGCTTCTGCCCTGCAAGGTGACAAGGAGGACTGGAGCATGCTCTTTGCACAAGGCCATTTGCTTGAATTGAATCATTGTAGCCTAATCAATGGTCTTATTGGATTACTGGCTGTTGCGGTTCTCAGAGATATTGTAGCAGAGACAATGGAATAGCTAGAGTAAAACTTTTTTCTCCTTTAGTGGATCACGCAGTTGAGATTTTTCACGGGCTATCTCTCTCTCTCTCTCCCTCCTTCCTTCCCTCCCTCTCTCTCTCCCTCTTTCTCCCCCTCTCCCTTTCTCCCCCCTCCTGGATCCACTGCACACAAAGCTGGCTCTTTTTTTTTTTTTCAATGAGCAGCTCTGCGAATAGGTTCAGTGTTTGCGAAGGTGCAGAATTAGCAGACACACATGCACGCACACATACACACACACACAGAGGGAGAAGCACAAAAAGCAAGTATCGGGACTGAAATAAGGAGAGGTAGGAGTTTAAGATGGCTGTCTGTGGGGAGATGTGATAACGAGGATTTCTGCCGGCCAAGATAACCTGCTTCCTTGGAGAGATCTGCCTGAAGGAAGAACTTTTTGTGTGTGTGCGTGCTGGGGATCTGTTTGTTTGTTTGGAATTCAGGGGGCTTTTTTTTTTTGCTTTTTCTTCACTCCCCTGCAACTGCATTTTTCCAGCCCTTCCTAGCAGCTTTATTCAGATTTATTTGGCGTGCTTTGGAGAAAGCCACTATATAATCGGGAGGTCAAAGGCATACTGAAGAAAGTTAATAATGGCTGCTAATGGTGCTAACAATTCAGGGTGAATCTTGTCAAAAGTTTTTTTTTTTCCCTCTCCCCCACCCTTTTTTTCCTCTCTCCTTTTTTTTTTTTTTTTTTTTTTTTTTTTCTGGAAGTCTCAGTCTTTTGATTGTGTGTTTCCTGAAAGCAAGACCAATCATTTCAGTTTATTCACTGGCTAAACTCTACTTGATTGGGGACAAGCACACAAACCATCCATTACGATCTGATATATTATCCAAACAATTTAGTGTATTCATGAGGTAACCTAAATGTGGAGGCTGCAAAATTACCCGTAATCAATTGAAACAGCGAGTGCGCGTCCCTCTGTGTGTCTAACAACTACATGTCTCTGTAATAAGGCAGACATTAAATCATTTTAGAGTTGTACTGTTGAGTACCTGATCACTGGGCGCTCTGGGAAGCCGGACAGTCACATTAGGACGCTGGGACTGAGGAAGCCGCTGCTTTTCCAGTGGGATAAAAACCGATCTTCCTTACTCAAGGTGCTTTACAGATCCCCACCGATCTGACCCTAAGCCGTGCAATATCCAGCATAGACTTCGTCTTCTTCTTCTACTACTCTTCTGTAATTTTTTCGTTATCGTTGTTGGTTTTTTTGTTTTGTTTTTATTGCACTACATGTTTGGGAAACAAGACAAAATGGACGTTAGATGCAGTTCAGAGACTGAAGCTAACCGGGTCTCGAAGAACGGACATAAAGAGGGCAAGGAAAGCAAAGGGTCTGAAGGAAATATTTCTACTTCTTTTTTGAAGGATCAGCAAGGGACTTTTTCTGCCTCTGCAGCTACGGAAGGTTGTAATAAAAGTAAATCTAGTTCGGCCGATCCGGACTATTGCAGGAGGATCCTAGTTAGAGGTATGAGTTTGAGGTGTTCGGCGAGGGTGGGGGAAGGTGAGCCGCGCTCACGCCCGGGAGATGGGTTTGTTTTGTTGCTCTGCCTTTGGTCCGGCCCTGGGTTGAAAGCCCTTTCCTAGGGCTGCGGGGGAGAGCCCCCAGTGCCGGCAGGGTTGTGTCCGCAGCCCCGCTCCCGGCGGCTTTACCGCGCCGAATTTCCGCCGCGCCTCGGGGAAAAGTTAAGCCGCGCTGGTTCCTGCCCCGCCACGGGCCAGCCCCGCTTATTGTTGCTTGTTTGTTGGGGGTTTTATTCCTTTCCTGCTTTCCAGCCTTCCTGGGGTGCCGGTCCCCGCGGGGAGCCCCCGGGGACAGCGTTCCCTCGGGGGGCCGCGGCTCTGCCCCGCGGGCAGGGCGCTCCTTCCGCGCCCGCGCATCCTGCGCATCCCGCACATCCCGCACATCCCGCACATCCCGCACAATTGCGCGGGGCTGCGGGCAGCAAGGCCCTCTCGGAGGGCAGGGGCTTGCCCCTGTACACCCTCTCTCTCCGCGCCCAGAGGAAAGGGCTGTTTTTAAAACCATCGGCCTTTAAAATGAATGGACGAAGGGCTGTTTAATTACCACTTTTTAATAGTTATATGTGAAATTTTTTCACAACCTTCGTCCCTCCTCCGGGCTTAAATAATTAAATTACCCTATTCGTACCCCCTCCAAAAAAAAAAAAAAAATTAATTTACCTGAAGAAATTTCAGTTTTATTAAGGTGCGTTTTGGGGGAGGAGGGAGAGAAAAGAATTGGAACAAAATCGGTGGGAAGCAGGCCTTGGAAGCCAGATTTAATCCTTGCGCCACTGGCTGACCCAGAGAGGGGTCAGATTAAAATGATGTGATTGTCTCTGATTTAAAACGTACCGAGGAGGTAAAATTACGGCAAGTAAAGTTGGGAAGGCTTTAAGGTAACCTGAATCTGGCTCTAGCTTGACAGTCGTGTTAATAAGATTTGTCCCGCTTTCCTCAGTTGAGGCTACCAGAAAACTGAGGTTTCTGCGGCTGGTTGGTGCCTTGGTTTCTTTCCTCCCCCCCCTTGCTTCTCCTCTTTGCCAAAATCCCAAAGCAGTGTGGGCAGCAGTGCAAGGTGGGCTGGAGGTGTCCCCACATTCACGGTGGCAGGCAGCCAGCTCAGGGCAGCACTGCCTCTGCCCAGAAAGATTCTGCCTGTTTTTATTTTTTCTTTTATTTTTTCTTTTTTTTTTTTTCCGCATGGGAAACTTGTTTTATATATATATTTAAAAGAAAAAAAAAAGATGGTTTCATATTTTTGGGGGCGTCGAGGTGCGTGTGGTGGCTGCCAGCAAGTCCTAACCCAGAGCCCAAGGGGAACAAAGAGTAGCCCTGCACTCCAGGCACAAAGCATGGCCTGGAGGATCTCTCTCTCCCCAGCTTCCCAGAAGGGCCGTGGGTGATGCCGCAGTGTCGTACTGTGAGAGCAATATATTCAAACTAATTTTTAAATGGGCTGAGGGGATTAATTATAAAGCCCTAGGCCCCCATCACCCCCTCCTTCCTTCTCTGTTGTGGGTAGTGGGTTTTTTTCCTTTCTTGGGTGTAATGGCCAGGTGCAGTGCCACAGTCACAGGGATCCTGTTCCATTCCGACTAGAGCCTCGGTCTTGAAGGCGATGGGGACGGCTCTTTCCGTTGGAAACATAAAAATTAAAAAAAAAAAAAAAAGAAAAAAAAAAGAGACGAGGGTTGCCTGGGTATGAAGCTGAGTGCGCCTTTCTTTGCCAGATGCCAAAGGTTCAATCCGAGAGATTATTCTGCCTAAGGGGCTTGATCTGGACCGTCCCAAGCGGACCCGCACCTCCTTCACGGCCGAGCAACTCTACCGCCTGGAGATGGAGTTTCAGCGCTGCCAGTACGTCGTGGGGCGGGAGCGCACCGAGCTCGCCCGCCAGCTCAATCTCTCCGAGACTCAGGTAACCCCTGAGGGACGGGGAGCCTTGTCCTGCCCTGCCCTGCCCTGCCCTGCCCTCCGCCGCGGTACCCCCCTCCCGGCCCGGGCATCCCCCGGCCCTGCGCGCCCCAAGGACAGGCCGAGCCCGCGGCACAGCCCCCGGGGCTGTCGGGCAGGGCCGCGGGGCCGTGGACAGGCGAGGCTTCCCCAGAGGTGCCCACGCGTGTCCGGTGGGGGGGGAGGGCCACAGCTCCCCGGCGAGAAGGAGCCGGGGGGGTTCGTGCCCGAGGTGAGGGACTTACAACTCTGTGAGGCCGGGGAAGGGCAGCTGCTGGCAAAGGGGGACCCCCGTATCCCCGCACACAGCCCCCCGGGGGCTCTCCCCTGGGCGAGGCGCCGCGGCTCGAGGGATCTGAGCCACCAAGCCAAACCCCTCCCGGGCCGGACGCGGCTCCCCCGCACCTCCGGCCCGCAGGGACCCGCCCCGGCCCCGCGGGGCTCGGTGTCCCCCGGGGCTCGGTGTCCCCCGGGGCTCGGTGTCCCCCCGGCTGCGCGGGGCCAGCCGCCCCCGGGCGCGGACATGCGCTGCTGCGGCCGGGGGGAAGAGAGGAGAGGCCGAGAGGGACACAGCCGCTCAATCCCGGAGGGACAGGCGGGCTCCTTCTCTCGGGGCTGCGGGGTTAGAGACGTTCGGTCTGAGCTCTCCTGGGTACGAGAGATCCGGGGACAGGGCAAAAGTTTGGGCCGTATTTTGAGTTCCTTGTATGTCCGAGGGCCAGAACCGCCCCTCCAACCTCCAGGGCAGAAAGGCCGGGGGCGGCCACGCGGGTTAAAATTATGCGAGAGCACTGGGAAGCATCTAAAAAGTCCAAACTTCTGAAAGCCGGTTTCATATTTCCTCAAAACATCATATAACAATAAATTCCCCTGACACGTTAATTAGCTTTTTTCTTTCCTTGATGGGTAGGAATGACAAGCTCGTAGGTTACAAAACCTGCCACGGGTGGTTTTTGTTGTGTTTTGGTTTGGGGTTTTTTTTAAATGACTTCCAGGATTTCTTTTTAAAGTTGAATATTATTTAAAATGGGTTGGGAGGTGGGGAGAGGGTGTCCAGGTTGGGATACGGGGGAAGAAGCGCGTTGCTGCTGTTCCCCCCATGAAAGGGAGAGCCAGAGCCGAGCGGGCAGCAGCGCGGGGGCAGCGTGCGGGGACCCTGCGAGCAGGGTGAGGGGCCGCGCTGTGCCCAGGGCACCGGCTGAGCCGGCTTAGAATAAAGCGCTGGGGAAAGGTCTGAATAAGGCTCTCAGAGAACTACTGGCCGACAGCTAAAATAGGATAAAGTGAGAGAGGTCTGGTTAAAGATGCAGAGCTAAGGGCTCCCGCATCCCCCTTCGCCCGCTCCCGGGCACTCCGAAACCTGGCACAGGCAGGCCACGGGGGTGTTGTGTTCTGTGCGTGTCGCTTTGTGCGTTTTGGAAGCGCTCCCCGTTCCCAAGTGTCTGTCGGCCCTCCCGCCCTCCCTCCCCCGCATCCCCCCCGCGCCCCGCGGAGCCGCGCCGGGGTCCCGGGGCACCTGGCGGGGGTCGCCGTGCCCGCCGCCCCGCTGACCCTGCCTCTCTCCCCGGCCCGCAGGTCAAGGTCTGGTTCCAGAACCGGCGCACCAAGCAGAAGAAGGACCAGGGCAAGGACTCCGAGCTGCGGTCGGTGGTGTCCGAGACGGCCGCCACCTGCAGCGTCCTGCGGCTGCTGGAGCAAGGCCGGCTGCTGTCCCCGCCGGGGCTGCCCGGGCTCCTGCCGCCCTGTGCCAGCGGCGCGCTGGGCTCGGCGCTGCGCGGGCCCGGCCTGGCCGCGGCGGGCAGCGGCTCCGCGGCGGCGGCTCCGGGCGGGGGATCCCCGCACCCCCCGGCGGCCCCCGGAGCGCCCGGGCCGCCCCCGCCCGCCGGGCTGCACGGGGCTGCTGCGGCGGGGCACGGGCTGTTCGGGCTGCCGGTGCCCGCCCTGCTGGGCTCGGTGGCCGGCCGCCTCTCCTCCGCGCCCCTGGCCGTGGCCGGCTCGCTGGCGGGCAACTTGCAGGAACTGTCGGCCCGCTACCTGAGTTCGTCCGCCTTCGAGCCCTACTCCCGGACCAACAATAAAGAGAGCGCTGAGAAAAAAGCACTGGACTGACTCTAAGTACCTTCCCCCCCCTATTTATATTTATAGTCTCTATTTGTGGCGGTATTTATGGGACGGGCGGCCGGCAGCCGCCCCCCCGCGCGGCTCCTGCGCGGGCCGGGGCGGAGCGGGGCCCGGAGCCCGCGGGCCGGGAACGGGAACGGGAACGGGAACGGGGCGAGGGGCTTTGGGCGCCTCCCCGGGGCCCGGCGGGAGCGGGGCGGCCCCCGCGCCCCCCCTGCCCCGCGGTCCATCTGTCCGTCTGTCCGTCCGGGAGAGGGCTGTCGGCCCGCTCGTTCGTCCGGGGAAGGGCCGGAGAGGGAGAGCGGCCGGGCTCCCTTCAGTCGCTTTAGCTAGGGAGCAGGATTTCGGAGAGAGGAGGATGGAGCTGCCAGGTGATGCCCGTTTTCGGTTTTTTGCTTTTGGGGTTTTTTTTGGGGGGGTTGTTGGTTTTTTTTGTTTGTTTTTGGTTTTTGAGTTTTTTTTAAATTGTTGTTGTGTCTCCCAGACTCAGTGATTTCTAAGCACAAAGGTTTTGGGGCCCCGCCTGTGGCCCTCGTTTACCCCCACGCTCGCTGCACTACAGTCCCCGGCTACCGACCGAGCCCTTAACACCAGTCAGGAAAACCTCCGGCAATTTTTGTTTTTCACGGTAAATCTTGAATGTGGGAAGTGCCGGAACGGATTGAAAAATACAGTCACGAACCGCGGAGACAGAAACCAGTGGCTGCAGAAATTTTGAATAAAATTGTCTCTTCCTTCGAGATAACACAACTGCCCCTTCTCCCCCCCTTTTTTTTTTCCTTTTTTTCCCTTTGAATTCCCACGGGCCAGTCCCGCGGACCTTATCTGCAAAAACAAGTCTGCAGATAAATCATGGAACTCGCGACTCTATTTGTATCTAGATCTGTTGCGATAGTAATTCTTATTTTTATTGCTCTATTTGATTTTTCCGAATAATTTCAATGTGCATCTAAACACAAAAAACCCTGTAGCCTTCCTTGCTCCTAAAATAACCCTCTCGTATATTGCTCACATTTTATTTGAAACGAACATAAAATATAAAAAGCATAACTTTTATTGTTATTTTTGTACTTTAAAACACATCTATGTAACAACCTTTTTTTTTCCTTCATAATTCTTACTGCTATTTTTTCCACGAAGATATGTATTTCACGTTCTAGTATTCCGGATCGAATATTTCCTGTTCAATTTCGGTACTTGAATTTGCCAGAAAAGGGATGTTGTACTTAGCTAGTTCTTTGGGGAAAAAATTATTTACTTCGGTTTTAAGTTTCTTTTCTTTCTTTGAACTTTAACCCATGGCGTTTACAAACTGTATAAATACGTGCCACCAAACTGTAACCAAAAAAGAAAAAAAATATGAAAAGTGGAATGGTTGCTGTAGAATATAGAATTAACTATAGACCAGAACTGGACAGAAGGAGCTGGATGGAAAGAAAATAGTAATTTTATTGTAAATTATTTACGTCTGAAGTTTCTAGGCAACTAGTCGAAAAAATAATGAATGAATTGAGCGCTGAGCCCTTGCTACTAACTTTTGTTCTGAATGTTTTGGATATTTGGATGTTTTGTATTTATGTGGTGAGAGTGAAATATATTATATCTATATGATGACAGAATTAGGTGTATTTTCGTCTTATATTCATGGCACCCAAATTGCCTTCATTTAATATGTGCTCTGCAGAAAAAAAAAATAGAAACAAACAAACAAACAAACAAAACAAAAACAAAAAACCCCAAACAAACAAACAAAAAACCAACAAAAACCCCCCCCTGTCCCTATATAACCCTCCCGATTTTTTTTCTTCTTTTTTTTTTATTTTATTTTTTCATTTTGAGCGGAGAGCTGTGAGGTCCACTTGGTAGAGGGTGATCTCTTCCTCCTGGGGCAGTCTGGGGCATTCCCAGTCCCCTCCCCGGTTCCATCCCAGCCCTCTTAGCGCTGCCAGGTCCCGCGGACCCGACCCCATGCCCGTGTCCGTGTCCGTGTCCGTTCCCCTGCAGGGAGGCGATCCTGGTGCCCAGTGTGCCAGGTGCCACCACCGGCTGTGCCACCCCGCCCAGGGACCCGCTCACCTCCACATCTCTGCTGCCTGTGGCGGCTGCCGGGCCTGGCAGGCACTCAGGGTGCACATCCGTGTGTGTCCCCATATATCCCTACAATCGAATATAAATATACATACACAGAGGTATGGAAAAATACATATGGTTGTGTGCATAAACATAGATATTTGTGAGTATTTGCTAAACAGCTCTTGTTCCCATCCTGTTTGGCAGCCCAGCCCTGAGCACCCTTTGCTGGGCAGTGCAGGGCAGACCCCGCGGTTCCCAGAAGGCTCCCCGGGCCAAGCCACCTCCAGCACCGGGGCACCTGCTCCTCCCACGGCTTCACCCCTCCACTGGGCTTTGCCACGAGCACATCCCAGCCAGGCACATGCACTGCTCCAGATTAGGAGGGAAGGATGTGGCAGTGCTGGTTTGCTTGTTGCTGTTTTTTATAAAGTGTGTAAAAACTATCTGATGAAGGGCAACCTGAGCGAAGGACAGGATCGCAGGTGACATTTGAAGAAGCGACATCGAAAATGCTGGTCAAGTTGGGAAAACTTCAAGGGGAGAGGAGGGAAAAGTGTTGTTAAAAGGAAAATAGCTGAATGTGACAAAACAGATCTGCCAGGGAGACCCTGAGGGCCAGGGGAGTTCTCAGTTTCTGCCTTGCCTGCATGGACTGCACAGCATCACCCGCAGCCCTGGACAGAGACAGCAGCCCTGGCCTGGGCTGCCTTTACCAAGGGGGCAATTGCCACCACTCAAACCGTCCCTGGTCTCCCCTGCCCAGTGTGGGGCTGTCCCGTGTGGGGAATTTGCCCTGTCCTGCAGGGACCTCCCTGCTGTCGAGATGTGGCCATTTCAGTGCCCAAATCTGCTGCTACACTGGGAGCCATGGGAACACCGGCACAAATATATCCTGCCAGAGCTGCCTCAGGTGCCCTCATGTTAAAAGAGATTTCCCTGTTACTCTATTATTTTAACCAGAGATGGTAGGGGTTTTCCTGTCCCCTCACACAGGTGCCCCGAGATCCTTTTTCCCTGGTCTCTGGCCTGACCTGCAGTCTCAGGGTTGGAGCTGTGGTCAGTGTAAGCTCTTTGCTCCTCATCTAAGGCAATTTAAGCCAGCATCAGGCTAAATTACTGATGCTGTAGCAGAAGTCCTTATTTTACAGCTTTGCAGCCTTCAGTATACATGCAAAGAACTAGACATTTTTATTTGTATTACTATTATTATTAATACTTTCTGAATATTCCCCATAAAGGGGATGTGCCCTGAGGTGTGAAGGGGTTTTGTCTAAGCATTCAAGTAAAATAAATACTTCAAGAAATTATTCTTTTTTTTTTTCCTGTCTTCTTCAAATTCCACCTGTCCCACATCTGTATTGGAAGCTGCTTCTGGGCTGGGGTCAGAGCAAAAGCCAGGGTTTCTCCAGTCCCATGCAGGGCTATCACAGTCTTGTTTCAGTCTCTGCTTGAGACTCAGGTCAGAACCTTGGACCCTAACAGAGAGGGAGGCAATTTGTTGTTTCCTTTGAATTTTTCAGCATCTCAAAAGCATGGGGTTCCTGAAAGCCTAAAACACCCTCCCTTCTATAGGAGAACAAACTAAAACATGTTCATCTGCATTTCTGTCACAGGGGAGGGAATATCACCTGTCTCACTGCACAGGACAAGTTAAAAATCATTCATATGCACATCTATATATACAGTGAGCCTGAATATAAAAACTGGCGTGGGATTTTTTTTCTTTCTTTTTTTTTCCAACTACACCAAAGCTGTTCTAAGCTGTGTGCTGCCCAGAGACACTGCTTGCTTGTTTTCACTGAAAGGCTGAATTTCACTTCACTGAAGCAATGAAAACAAACCACCTTTCTCAAGCTATTTGCTGCTGAAAGGCTTTGTTGCATTTCATGCTGTATTGTTTGTTATTTGTGCCCATCACTGTGGCACCAGAGCTCAAACAGAGAAATATTTGGCTGATGCAGAGAGAGCATGTGTGAGTGTGAGGGGCAGCAATATTTAGTAGGAAAGCAAACAAGCAAAATATAAATCTATATCTGGCATGATTTTTTCAAGGAAATCTCAAAAGTATTTCTGTGGCAGGCAGACTTCCCCAAACAGAGTGCAGCGTGGATTATTTAAATTTGTTCAGCTGAATCCAAAGAATATTTTCACAGGTACATGGACAGTGTCTCTCTTCCTGTGGTTCTCAGGAAGGCAAAAATCCCAGGATCAGCTCCAGAGCACAAAGAGCGAACACAAAACAATGTTAGCCAGGTACACATAGGGAAAAGAGGAATCAGACTATTCAGAGGATTTTTTCAAAAGTATTTGCCCACCCACTTAACACAGGCCTAGATTTACTCACTGCTCCTCCACATCCCTCATGCCAGGGATTAGCACAGCCTCTGACCACTTTGTCTCCCTCTGCAATCCTGTCATGAGCCCAAGATACGTGACCTTGTGACGTGTAAAAAAGCACATGAGGTCCCCGATTAACTTCAGAGTATTTTATTTCCTTAAAGAAAAGAAAAGGACTTCAAAAGAATAACTCTTGAATAGAATCAAGTCACAGTCACCAGCGAGTGTTTAACAAAATTAGCCAGGAAGGGAAAGTGAACTCCATGGCCGAGCTGCTGTCTGTGCAAGTCATAACACAAACTGTGACCCCAGACCAGACAAGAGCCCTGGTCAAAGTGCTTGTGACACGAACCGGTTCTGACTCAGGTGTATGAACTCTCTAATAAGCAGTTTACTCCCCACCTTTCTGCTTCTAACAAGTGCTGAGCAGCTCAAGCACAGTCTTTATTATCTCGCCACACGTATTGTTATTGTTCGTGCTGTTCCATATCTGTGTAAGTGATGGATTCGAGTTTGAACACTAAGTCTTAAACTTTTCTAGTGGAGTGAGTTCTGCAGTCAGTCATACACAGAACAAAAATTATTGTATTTTGCATATCAATTTTCTACTTTTTGTTAATGTAAATAGTCCCAAGTTCTGTCATTAGAAGAAGCAGGACAGAT